ACTGGAAAACTGACTGCAGCCAAGCAGTCCAGGAGCTTACTGACATAAGGATGTGCTGAAAGCCAGCAGGCTGCAGGCTGGCAAACTCTGGAACTGGCAGGAGGCTAGCAGGCAAATAGCAAGTTGGCTCAGAAGCTATTGCTACTGGCCTGGATTCTAACCAGGTCTACAATAACCTTCTGGGATGCTGCTTGGAGGATGGCCAGTTCGTACTGTGAAATAATAACCAGGGACATAGGTGATCTCTGAAGAAGTAGGTGACGAGAGTCGGTGAACAAACAAACTGGCAACTCAAAGGCAAGACTTCATATACACAGAGTACTAATGAGGAAACAAGACGAAGTGGAAACTAATTAGGGTAATATGCTGTGTAATAAGTGGTGTGTTATTGCACAGAGGTAATAAATAGCATGTTACTGCACATAATGTGGAGTATTTCACCAAGTTATTGCACATTATTGGGAGTTAACTGAACTGAGTTCGTTAACTGTTTGCATTAAAACATAATGACTCCAATCTATTGACTCAGAGAGTCTCACCCTCTGACTGAGGAGTTATACAGTTTGATGGATTTCCTGTGGCGCTCTGTGCTGCATCTTTGTGGGATGAGTCTTTAACTAAATGAACTCCTGTGGCCGACCAGCATTTTGTGGAGTGGGTGGGAGACATTGTCCAAGATGACTTGCAATTTAGACAGCATCCTCCTCTCAGACACCAATGCTGTGTTCACACCAGACACGAGTAAAATCATTCGAGCTTCCACTCCAGCTTCCTCCTGTATCTTTCCTTACCTCTCTGACTTTCAACTTTAAGTGCCCCTGTATTGTTTTAACCGCTTCCCTATTGACAGCTCTGAAAGCTCTCTTCCTGTCGTTGAGGAGGACTTTGATGTCCTTAGTTACCCACGCCCTGTTATTTGTGTAACAATGTACAGTCTCTGCTGGGACAGCTGAGTCCACACAGAAGCTAATGTAATCCGTGATGCACTCTGTGAGCCCATCA